ACCCTTCAAAGGGAACCGAGATGCCAAAGAGTTGGAGAACTTCATCTTTGTTGTCGAACAGTACTTCAAAGCCACAACGGCTTGTACTGACGACATAAAAGTGATAGTAGCCTCAATGCATCTCATAGACGATGCAAAACTTTGGTGGCGTATGAAGGTGCAAGACATCGAGAATGGATGGTGCACCATCGACTCGTGGGAAGACTTCAAGAGAGAGTTGAGGGACCAATTCTTCTCCGAAAACGTAGAATATATAGCAAGGGAAAAACTAATAACCCTAAAACAAACTAGAACCATAAGGAACTGTCAGACAGTTCTCGCCCCTGATGCTAGATATCAGAGGCATGTCAGAGAAAGACAAGGTATTTCTCTTTATAAATGGGGTACAACCGTGGGCAAAACAAAATACACGAGAAAAAGATTCAAGACCTAGCTACCACAATTGTAAGCGCCGGGAGACTCCTAGACTTTGGGAACGAAGCGAGTTTCCAAAGAAGAACAACACAAGCCCCAAACACTAGGGGCAAAACATATAAGCTGACAGGTCACTGAAATGAAGGCCCCAATAGGCCAAACGGAAGTAACGACAGACCAAGTGGGTGGACAGATAGACCTCCTCAGAATAACCAAGTGGAGACATCTCAGAGGACCTTACCCTCAAAAGAAATACCTGACGGCACCTTTACAATGCCTGTTGTGTAAAGGCCCCCACAAACTGTCCTACTGTCCTCTCTCAGTGTACTCAAAGTGTCCATTCAAGAGAGCAACGACACAGGAGTTGAGACTACGCCAGACAGGAGGGAAGATCAAGACAACCCCCGAATGGGTACGCTTAATTCTTGTCAACCCTCCAACAGAAGGTCGACCCAAAGGAGATAATAGAGAAAGGGCTCATGTTCGTAGATGCAACAATAAACTCCCGACCGAGCAAGAGCACCTTGATAGACTCAGGTGCGACCTACAACTTCATCGCCGACCAGAAAGCACAAAGATTGGGACTCAACATAGAAAAGAACCCCGGAAAAATGAAAGTTGTCAACTCCGAGGCCTTGCCTATTGTGGGAGTCTCCAAAAGAGTCCCCTTCAAATTAAGGGCCTGGTCAGGAGAGATGAACCTTGTCGTAGTTCGCATGGACGACTTCAACGTGGTACTTGGGATGGACTTCCTCTTAAAACACAAAGTTATCCCAATGCCACTGGTGAAATGCTTGGTGATCACCGACCACAACCCCACAGTAATACCTGCAAGCATCAAGCAACCAAGTAATCTTAGAATGATCTCGGCCATACAATTGAAAAGAGGATTCACACGAGAGGAACCTACATTTATGGCCATACCCATCAAATGACCACTGAGGAAACTATTTCAAGAGAAATCAAGGATGTACAAGACAGTTATGTTGACATAATGCCAGAGAGCTTACCACAAATGTTACCACCCCGTCGAGACATCGATCACGAAATTGAACTCCTCTCGGGGTTAAACCCCCAGCGAAAAACGCATACCGGATGGCTCCCCCTGAGCTAGCCGAATTGAGGAAACAACTAGATGAGTTGTTGGCGGCAGGATTCATCTGCCCGGCAAAGGCACCTTACGCAACCCCCGTACTATTTCAGAAAAAGAAGGATGGGACGTTGCGTCTGAGCATAGATTACAGAGCCTTAAACAAGGTGATTGTATGCAACAAATACCCACTGCCAATAATATCCGACTTGTTTGACCAGCTTCACGAGGCCAAATACTTCATGAAGTTGGACTTACGATAAAGATACTACCAAGTACGTATCGACGAAGGAGACGAGCCCAAGACGATGTGTGTAACAAGATATGGAACCTTTGAGTTCTTGGTAATGTCCTTTGGCTTGACAAATGCCCCAACTGCATTCTGCACGTTAATGAACCAGGTTTTCCACGAATACTTGGATCAGTTCGTCGTAGTATTCCTCGACGACATAGTTGTATACAACACAACCATAGAGGAACACAAGGTGCACCTGAAACTAGTGTTTGATAAGCTGCGGTAGAATCAGTTGTACGTCAAGAAAGAAAAATGTGCCTTCGCACAAATATGTATCATCTTCCTTGGACATGTCATCAGTTGTGGATAGATTGATATGGATAGCATAAGATAAAAGCCAAGAGTGGAAAATCTCTACTTCCGTATCCAATGTGTGATCCTTCCTAAGATTGGCAAACTACTATAGGCGGATCGTCGAAGGGTTTTTGAAAGACCACCCTTGGTCGTGGTCAAATGAATGTCAAGTGGCCTTTGAAGATCTGAAAGCAACCATGACGAGGGGTCCTGTCCTCGGATTAGTAGATGTTACTAAACTATTTGAAATAGAGACAGATGCTTCCGACTTTGTCCTAAGCGGTGTCCTTATTCAAGAAGGCCACCCCATCGCTTATGAAAGTCGAAAGCTCAATGATGCTGAAAGGAGGTACACCTCTTGGGATCACAATTCGTAGTGAAGACGGATAACATTGCCATTTGCCACGTCTTCGACCAACCGAAATTGACGGCAAAACAAGCCTGGGGGCAGGAGTCGTTGGCTGAATTCGACTTCAAATTTGAACACAAGGCAGGAAAGAGTAACCAAGTCGCCGACGTGCTGAGTCGAAAGGGCGAACAAGCGGCCCTGTGCATGTTAGCCCATATTCACTCAAGTAAGATTGATGGGTCGTTGCGCGACATCATAGAAGAACATTTACTCCAAGACTCGTTGGCTAAGCCGTCGTTGAACTAGCTAAAGCTGGAAAGACACGACAATTTTGGGTCAAGGGAGACCTTCTGATGACAAAAGGAAATAGATTATATGTCGCAAGAACTGAAGAACTAAGGAAGAAGCTCATCCAAGAATGCCATGATACTTTATGAGCTAGACACCCTAGGTAACAACGAACTTATGTCTTAATCAAAAAGGGGTATTTTTGGCCAAATATGCGTGACGACATAATGCAGTACACTAAGACGTGCTTCATCTGCCAACAAGACAAAGTCGAGAAATCAAAAGTCTCGAAACTCTAGAACCTCTACCCGTGCCAACAAGGCCTTGGGAAAGTGAGTGTATCTCTAGAGTTTTAACATACCTCCCAAAAGTCGGTGAGTATGAAGCTATCCTGGTCATCATAGACCGATTCACGAAGTACGCAACGTTCGTTCCCACCCCTAAAATATGCTCGGTCGAACTAACAGCCCAACTATTTTTCAAACATATTGTAAAGTTATGGGGCATTCCGTCGAGCATTATCATCGATAGGGATGGTATATTCATTGGCACATTCTGGACTGAGCTATTCACCTTCTTGGGAACGACTTTAAATATCTCCTTGAGCTACCATCCCCAAATCGATGGGCTGACAGAACGGTTCAACTGCCTACTCGAAAAATACTTATGTCACTTCGTTGACGCTCGTCAGAAGAACTGGGTACAACTTCTAGATGTCGCTAAGTTCTGTTTCAATTGTCAAACGAGTTCGTCTACGGGAAAGAGCCCCTTCGAAATTATAAGTGAACGACAATCAGCCTTGCCCCATATTATTGATCATCCTTATGCATGAAAGACCCCTCAAGCTCAGAACTTCACCCGAGAATGGAAGCAGACAACAGATATAGCCCGAGGGTATTTGGAAAAGCTTTCAAACATATGAAGAAGTGGGCAGACAAGAAGCGTCGCCTCCTCCAGTTTCGAGCAGGAGACCAAGTCCTCATCAAGCTAAGGCCAGAACAGATCAGATTCCATAGTCGAAAGGACCAAAGACTTGTTCGAAAATATGAAGGCCCGGTTGAAGTTCAAAAAAGATTGGGGCTACTTCTTACAGAGTTGCGTTACCCACATGGATGAAAATCCACCCAGTAATTTATGTGAATAACCTAAAGCCCTATCATCCCGATCCAATTGACGATCTACGAAATGCAACCACCACACCGAGCATCGATGTGAAAACAAAAGACATCAAAGAAGCAATGACAATCCTGACCGATTGGTTTAGGAAGGTAGGAAGACTTGTACGGAGGATTCGCGAATTCCTTGTCAAATGGAAAAACCTCCCTGCGGAAGAAACCAACTGGGAACGTGCCGAAGATCTGGACTCCGCCGCAATCCACATCACTAGGTTTGAAAATAGTCGGTTGACAGGGGCGTCAACCAATTTGGTGGGGAGGATGTCATGGTCATGCTCGTCCAGGGCATGTTGCCCATGGCCGCATGCCCATGCCAAGCCAAACCCTTTATGTTTTTCTATATTGTAACGCTTTACTTTTGTATTCCTAAGGGAGTATGACGCTTCGACAAAATCATGTCTAGGCCTGTCAGACATGAAATGCCTCAAAATGTACTTTAGGGGATATGACTAGTTGTCGACTTCTCCCTACCAATAGTTATATGATGTGAGTCGTTGTTGTTGCCTTTTTGCTTGCATATATAATACCAATTTCAATTTCTCAAATCTTCCTTTCAAAACCTCCCTTTCGAAATCTCTCTTTGCCCCCGTTTTCCAAAACTTTCATCTTGAACTGGGGCCAGAGGCTCGAGCATACGTCGCTTGGTTGTAGGTTACGCAAGAACGAATTGGCTTAACTTGCTTATTGGTGGGAAGCGAGTGTTGCACAATCGCAAGTCCGTTACCATCAAAAATGCGATTGTGACAACTGCCACTCGTTCCTTTCTCCAATCAATGTGGGACATTCACCAAATCCACCCCCTTCGGGGCCCAACGTCCTTACTGGCGCACCACCTCGTGTCTATCCCCTTTCGAGGATAGCCTCCTTGCTGGCACATCGCCCGCCGCCTGGCTCTGATACCATTTGTAACGGTCCAGGCCCACCGCTAGCAAATATTGTCCTCTTTAGGCTTTCCCTTTTGGGCTTCCCTCAAGGTTTTTAAAACACATCTGCTAGGGAAAGATTTCTACACCCTAATGTGGGATTTCATAGAAAAAGAACCCCCAACATCTAAAGCTCGAACAAACTAAACAGTGTCCATTTAAATCTTCTTACCCATTGACATGAAGAAGCAGTCTTGCAGTGTTCTTATGAATATGCTCAATGAGATATGGAACGGCATCCAACTGATCAAAAGTAGATAAATTTAGTGTAAATTTCCAACACATAAAAATAGAAAAAGACTGTCAAAACCATTTACATACTATAAACATGAAAATAATAGAAATTCACTGAGCTATCTCAATATCAATAAGCAGGGAAAAAAACATTTGTATGAATAAAAGTTGCTGAATTAGGAATAATTTTAATAAGGTATTTAGTATGAAATACATAAGACATCCGGTCCACGATCTATAAAACAACCATTATCACTGAACAGTTTGTATTTATCTTGGATTCTTGGTTATATCCTTCCTGATAATATACACCTCCAAAGCCACTATATGAGCCATGACAATAAACCCACCCACACACATTGATGTTTGACAGAAAGAACGAGCACAGAAGTAGATCGAAGAGAAACTCGGTTGAGAAATAAACGGATAATGAAGCTAGTACTTCTATAATACTCATATGGACAACAATAAATTAATGATAAATTAATGCATTAGTTCAAGTCATGCAAATAAAGAAATTCAAATGAACTAACATTTATTAGGGAAATAATTACAAGCAAAAAAAAAACAAAAACAAAAATGAAATCAAAATTTCAAATGTAACAAGCTCTGTAATCAGTATTAGGCTGCACCAAGGATGAAACATTATGTTCCATGACATACTAAGAATGAAAAAATGTAACGGCCCAGATCCACTACTAGCAGATAATTGTTCTATTTGGGCTTTCCCTTTCGGGCTTCCCCTCAAGGCTTTAAAACGTGTCTGCTAAAGGAAGGTTTTTACACCCTTATAAATGGTGGTTTATTCTCCTCACCAACCAATGTGGGACATCACAATCCACCCTCCTTCGAGGCCCAACATCCTCGCTGGCACTCTTTCCTTCCTCCAATCGATATGGGACCACCCCCAAATCCTCCCCCTTTGGGTCCCAATGTCCTTACTGGCACACCGCCTCGTGTCTACCCTCTTCGGGGAACAGCAAGAAGTCTGGCACATCGTCTAATGTCTGGCTCTGATACCATTTGTAACGGCCCAGATCCACCGCTAGCAGATATTGTCCTCTTTGGACTTTCCCTTTCAAGCTTCCCCTCAAGGCTTTAAAACGTGTCTGCTAGGGGAAGGTTTCCACACCCTTATAAATGGTGGTTTGTTCTCCTCCCCAACCAATGTGGGACATCACAAAAAAACTGAATAAAAATGGAATATTACCAGATATACGTAAAAGTCTTCAATTACGGCCACGTTAGTTTGCAGGAGCATGGACTGAATATGAGCTTTAGACCTATGCATTATTCTTGCCACAAGGGATAATGAGTCAGCACCTGCACACCTTTCCTGCAGTTAAATGAACACAGTTTAGGGGAAAACCATTGAACCCAAACTGCCAAAAAAAAGCAGAAGTACCAACTGAAAGCTTACAAAGACTTTGAAGAATTGAGCGAACAAAACATACAAAAATGGTTTCCTTGTGAAATCATTAAATAAATTTCACACATCCCGAGTCCACAAGGTTCAATAAGAGAAAAAAATTTGCAAGACACTGATGAAGGAAGATCGTATGAAAATCCTAGTGAATTGAAATTAAGAGCCTATTTGGGCATATAAACCCCTAATTCATAAACACTAAAACACACAAATTTATGCAATCTCAACTCTAAGGATTAGGTTACACATGGATTGTCTTAATTAAGATTAAACTCTTGAGACAAAAAAAACAAGTTTCTTGGCCCAGATTTGAACACTCCACAAGATAGGATGATCGATCCTATTTGAATGTTCTAGGCATGCAACTTAACACATGAGTTGCAAATTTAAAAAGGAGCACCGTTCAAGCTAACTTTAGATGGAGCATAAGTGTTGTCATCATATAACACGAGAGAAAATGAGAAGGTGTAGGGTCTTCGAACGAATGAACAACTCCTTTAGTGAAGACGATATCAATATAGTTGTTGTAGTTAGTTGATTTTCTTTGTTATTTCAATCCATAAATATATTCATCAGAACTCAATACATCCAAAATACCACACTTGCTAGTTGCTTCACAATTACATGGCTCAAAATTCCAAAATTGCAACTAAAACCAAAATTGATACTTATTTCTCACAAATCAAAATAAAATGCAACAGAGAGAGAGAAAAGAAACGAAATGGAGATTTATATATATATATATAGTAATCAAAATAAAGAAAAGAATAAGCATTTCTAAAGTTGTAGCCTTGTATATAAATTAGCACCTTGAGACCAAGAGATGTTCCATGAAAGTAACCTAAGCTATTGCCAGGAGGGCTTGGGGTAACTTCATTGAAAGCAAACGTCGAATTTGAAGCTGATGGGGAAGACGAATGGGGTCTTATCCACTGATCACAATCCTGCGCAGCTCGTGACAAAGCTGTCTTCAACTTATCTGTATCCAGGAAGACCAGTCAAAATTCAAGAAAGCAAATTAGCGTCATTTAGTTTCTGATATAATAAACTTTGGAATAGACAATATAGAGTTTTAGGGACTGGTCCGGGACTCGGAAAAAGGAAAAAAGAAGAGCGAGTACAATTGAGAGAGTCCGGGAACCCTTTTCCACCAGAAGTAGTGTTAAGCTGGCCAAAAGTCTCGTATACAAAATAGAAGAACACTTCAAACAACTGGCACATTCCCTGCTTAAATTAATCCAATTAGAAATATTTTGGGCAGTTTAAAGGTGAATGATATCTAACAAGCTAACCATTAAATATTGGATACCTTGAAAAACTCAACATTCACTATCTCTAGTTTCTGCATAAGCGTTGCATACTTGTCCATGGACCTGGAATTTGGAAGATAAAAAAAACAATCCAAAATTATACAAAAAAATAAAGATTGTTTCTCATGCTTCACATTATCACTACAGATTCTTCACCTTAAAAGGCATAGAGATGATCCTGTTTGTGCTGTAATTTCATCATTATTATGGTTAGAAGAGTGGTTTAGTGAAAGTCTGGGTTTCAAAATTCTGCTTGGGAGTTGACTATCTTCATCAATAAAGTCGGCTAAAAGATCTTCATTTTCATCTTCAGAAACAGTATTAGCACCATTTGAAAGTTTGTCCGTATACTTCATTGGAGAGGAATTACTCCTATGAAAACCTTCACCTGCACTTCCATCCAGTTCTCCATAAAGGGCACCATTTGGTATGCCTTCCTTACATGTATGCATTTGTTTAAGTAAAAATGGATTTCCATTTTTGAGCCACCGCAAAAAACCACTTCTATCCATGCCTGTACTGACTGAACTTGTTGTTTTGTCTGAACGTGGGACCTTGCCCTTAGATGAGTTACCATCAGAGTGAACAAATAAAGGTGCTCCATCACCAACCAGTCCAGGAAAACTAACAACTTGAACTGTATCTGGTGGCAGTGTAAGCCAATTCTCTTTTTCCATAACCATCTTTAGAGCCTAAAAACATGAAGAGCAAAATCAATCACGAAGTACTAGTGAATTTTCACATTCAAACTTAAACATTGCTTAATTCAACCAAGTAGTAGAAGCATGGCTGAGACAGTCTACTTAAGTAAATTAAAATTTCCAAGAAATGCTGAAGAGTGATCGAATGCCAGTTTAGACTCGAGACATGAGAATTTATAATAACTACAACTGAATTTTGAAGAGTTTCTAATTGTCACAATAACTCTAGTTTTGTAAGCCGAAGAGAAATTTGTGGAGAATTTAATGTCAAAACTACAAAACCAATAGGAATGGCAAGAACAGAGAGAAATGTTAAGCAAGGAAACCAGCAGTTACTTTCTATATTAATCAAATATGAAGAGATAATTGAAATATTCATTGCTTTCTTAAAGTTAGCTGGCATAGGAAAAATTACTGAGATTTAAGAATGGGGCAGCGTTTAGATTCCATGGGCCTGCATGTATAGACAAATCTGAACCATGGCAAAATTAAGCAAGAAGGTCAACTTACGTGCATACTCTGCTTATGGAAAGCCACATAATAGTTTTCACAAACAATCTTCAACTTTTGCCTAAATTCAACTGCTTCAACTCCACAGAAGGCTTCTCCAGCCAATATGAAGACGTTGAGATCTTCGTAGTTTTTCAAGAATTGATGAATGCTCGTTGAACAAACAGCAGCAGAAGAAAGCAGTACTGAGACACGGCTAGTAGATAGTTGCCAAAGGTTCTTACGGCTTCTTTGTAGGGTTTGGGAAACAAAATTTATAGCATCTTTTCTCAGATGGTACCAGGGAGAACCACTGGTTGATGCTGTGCTGCTATCTGTCGGGGACCCTCTATTGAGATCACTCCGATCCATGTAAACAAAATTCGTATCCGCTGCAGTCCCCATTGAAGAGACATTGATCGTTGACTCAGGTGTATCTCCTAAATTAATGTCAGAATTATCTTCTTGTTGCTTCATGTTAGGAGTTTGGTCAATTGAGTCCTGAATCAAAAACATGCTTTATAAGATAAAAAATTTAAGCCCCCAACAGAAAAGCCTCCTGATCAGGGAAAGCGGGCAACATAAAATCTGCTTCTAACTACTAGCCCTTCAAACAAAAAAGTAGTATCAATAAAGAAATCAACAATAGCATCCTGAAAATAACTCACTAGGCCAACCCCCATGGAGTTAATTCCCTTATTATTTACATGACCCTTGTTGATCACTATTCCCTTGAAGAACTACGCATAAAAAAAAATCATCAGACATTTTGTTGTGTTTTCCACAATGACTCGAAGAAGGATTTCAGAAATAAGAATCTTCACAGATGATTACTTATGATTTAATCATACCTTTTTCTACATTCCATTTCTATTTGTCTGACCTTCAGTTATTATCATTATTTATTTTTTCTGAATAAGAAACAAAACTTTTCATTCATAATTGAAAAATTACAAGAAAGTTGAAACATCCATCCAAATGGTTAAGACTACAAAGAGAAGCTGAAAATATAAAAAGAAAAGAATCTTGCCAATTGGCTGATTCAATGTGACATGTTCTAATCCACCTAGACAATGGAGATGCAGGTGTTAATCCACTCTCCACCTTTACCCAAAGCCTTTTGACTTGAAGACTCATGTAAATCTGAATAAATGAGACCCTATAATATATTGAATTCTGTAGTAAACAGAGATTATGCATTATCTATTATTCTTGTAATTTCTTCTATTATGAGACTCTAAAATAAGCATAAGGCCTTCAGGAAATATCAAGTAACCAAGAGGTAGACTTGGCCACTGAAACCAAAAAGCTGTCCTGCAAAAATTAGCCCTACAAGATATGTATGCAAAACCATATGATTAACTGGAATAAATAAGAAATAGTAAATATGGTAATAGACCTTGGTATCCAGTTGGAAGCTAAAGATCTGATAATATGAGCACACCAAGGTAAATAAGACAGCTAGTGTTTTTAGTAAACACAGCCTAAACTTTGATTCAGGAATCTGAAAGCATAGATCGCTGTATGTAAGCCTGTAAATTGAATAAAATAAGTTAAAAGTTTTTATTTGACACACTGAATGCGAGACTCAGCAATTTCAAGAACTTTACCTACTATTTTGTATATGTACATCCTGATCCTGCAAAGATAGAATACTCATCATTGAATATTTCATCAATTACTAATCAAGGAAATGATGTAGAATAAAATGAGAAGATTAAAAGAAAGCTCAATTAGATCTTTTTGTTCCAACTTGCTGTTTTATCAGTACGTTAACATAGTCGTCGAATCCATTTAGTTCAACGTATGTATTTAATTTGATGTATGTCAATGACTTAAAGTAGACGTGAGAAAAAGCAACCTCAAATACAGCAGTTGTGTTTTAAACTAAATGCTACCTATAAAAAAAATTATAAAAAACTTTCCACATAGCTTTGTGCGTTAATTTGTATTCCATTTATATTTCAATGGAAATAAACTTCAGATGGTATAAATCTGCAAAGTAGGAAGCAATTTTGAACTCTCCACATAAACCGGTTCCTCAATTTGAATGACTCGAGCGCACCTCTTGCACAATGCCTTTCAAGGAAGAATGGGTTTCTGATATAACTTCCTGCATAAAAAAGCTTTGTATCTTTTCAGCAAGGCCAGAGACATCTCCTATTAGCGCATAGGCATCAACCACCTGTTCATAATGACAAAAGCCGGATCATGTTAAACAAAACTTCATTAGAGAGAGAAATAAGTTCCGTGATTAAAGCACTTGCAATGGTTCTACAATTACAAAGAGTGAACATATCCCCCAACCCCCTATCTTCTTCCAAAAGGAACTCTCTCTCCCATCTCCCACAACACATTTAACAAACCAGGAGAGAGAAGGAAGGAAAAAGAAGCCCAACCTAATTCATCTGCTTCCCACTTAGCTCACAAGCCCATGCTTACCAGGCTCAGCCATTTGACCAATAAACACTATGAACAGTACTATTCTCATTGCCTAAATTTCCCCGACGTCTTTTCCTTTATTGGAGCAAAAATGGTAAAGATTTCAGAAATAAATAAACGTGGATGGAAAAGTTCAACATCGAAAAGTCCATCCACAGCCCTTTAGGATATATAATACAGGACCCTAGTCCAAATAAAATGTGAATGGACTTTACAATGCTCAAGGTTAAATAATAGAAACATGAATTGCGCGTCAAGAATGAACAATTCTGGAAAGGAAGAAGAAAAAAAACTAAGTTCTATCACAAGAAAATAATCCTCACGGTTAAATAAGCCTCTTTCTTGAACTCCTGACAGACTTCTATCAAAAGTGAATCCAACTTTTGTAGCGTTCTTCCAAGCCAAGTCTACAACATTTTGTAAAAGAGATGTGTAAATCATCATAAATCATTCATCCTTTAAAATGTTTACCATGAGAGAAAATATACAGAATTTTTGCAACTATAATGCTCGGTATCATTGAAAATACTCACCTCAATGCCACAGCTCATCTCTCGAATTACTGAAAGCTCTGAAAAACTATCCAATAGCTGCAAATACTCAGATAAGACCTGAAAAGCCTGTATAGCAGGCATGTTCGGCAGCACAGCTAGAAAAGTTAATAAGCAGACATCATTACTCCCTCTGACATGTTCATTAGTCCAGTACTCTGAGCTCAGCTATAAAAAGCTTAACAAGAAGCAAATTATGAAACCCACCTTGGAATAATTTCCCTCTTCAACAAGGATCTCGAGCATCGATTGCATGTCCACAGCATGACGAAGCTCACTCAAAATTGGAAGCATATCCTATTTGCATTACTTTGTCAATGAAAAGTTTATTACTTGAAAAGAAAGGATGGAAAAATTAAAAAAACAAAAACAAAAAAAAAACTAAATAAAGCTGGAAGCATATACTACTTAGCATACCAATGGATATTTTATTATGATGTAAACGATTCCGTGAGTCTTTATTCTTGTTTAACATTCTGTGGTTGTAAGTTTTGTATGTACATTTTCTTTACGGAAACCAGTGAAATGCATTAAGAGTTGACAACTTAGGGGCCGGGGGCAGAGGATTCATTAATGGAATAGAAGATCATTCCAAGGTTCCTCAAAAATTTGAATTGTTCCTTTAATGAGGAATATTGCTTGGGGTCATCTGGAATTTGAAGGGTCATGAATCCATTTAGTTTTTGAAGCATTCAGAAATCATCAGGCTCAAGAGTGCATATTTCTCTACCTTTCAGAATGATGGAATCAACAAAAAGAGTAGTAAATGTTCTTTGGAAATTGAAGGATTTTATGTTGTCTCTGCTAATAGTGTCAGCAGTATCGATAAGGAGTTTGTTCCTTTAAATCAAAAATTGGACCAACGGTTACTTGAGAAGTCATGTGAAGAAGGGACTCTCACACTTTTCGAAAATGGTTTCTGTATGCTATTCGCTGGTCAAAATCTTCATAGACATTATGTTTGACTTTTTTGGGGGCTCTTGTAATATTTGGAGATCTTTGCTTTGTGGTTTGGTTTTCTTCACATCTTTAAAGTTTGAATCCTTGAAAATTTTTCTATCATTTCACCAATCAATAAAAAGTTTTTATCTTGCGAGGAAAAAAAAAAAGAAAGAAATTAGGAGCCGAGCAGAAGGAACCTTCCAAGAAACTACAAAAGGAGAGTCTTCCAAACATTAATGATCTTGAGTTGGCTATACTTATAAAATAACTCTTATGGTAAGAACACCACCAAGAAGCATGTACACTACTAGCAAAAGAATATTAGGAGGACAACTAATATTAAAATATCATTTTTGGCTTCTTTCCCTCCATTAGTGCCAACTAATGGCTTTAACTGTGCAATTCCAGAGAATCATAGATTTTCCTTTGAAGTACATTACCCCTAAAGTCTCAGCAGTCACTGGTCAGCCTTTTGTTGAAAACAGATCTCTATGCCCAGTTGAGTCCGGATGAAAAGACCAACCACCACAAGTAAAAGGAACGAAGAATGAAAATGTGATCAATAGTGACTTCATTTTATTACAAAAGCTGCACACCTAGGAAGATAAAGCCCAGAAGGGGAATTTTCTTTCAAGTTTGTCTGGTACAGGGGGGCCTTTAGATAAGCTTGAGATTTAGTGAGGTGACTGAAGGTGGATTGGCTTAAAGAGAGCCTGAAGGGTCAAATTTCCAAATAATTTGATCTAGCCCGACATACACTCTTCATCTAATTTTTCTGTAAAAGCAGCCCAGCTAGCACTCTCTGTTAAAAAGTCTCCTCATAATCCAAAATCTCACATCTGAAGATCACCCCTCTTGCACGCTGGAATTGACGCTATGGAAGAAAGGATGAAAAGTTCTAGTTTTTTTTTTTTAGATAAAAAATAAACCAAACTTTCATTGAGAAAAAATAAATAATACACGAGTACACGAAAAGGAAAAGCCTACAAAAAGGAGTAAAAACTTAAAAAAAAAATAAAAAAAAAAAAAAAAAAAAAAAAAAAAAAAAAAAAAGAAAAAGGCTCCAATCAAGTACTTGAAACCTAGAGGATAATTACAAAATAACTTCAATACCAAAGTCTAGAGATAAAATGTAATCTAACAAGGGACTAAACATCAATAAAAGATCTCTCCAGCCCTCTAAAGATTCTATTATTGATCTCTCTCCAAAGGCCCCGCCAAAAACGGAACTTCTAGGTAAAGTTGTGAGAAAGGTAACGTTTCAGCTCAGGCACCTTCCCAAGACTGGCATGACCTGTTTCTAGCTTAAAAATTCAGAAAACTCAGAAAGCCTACCCAATGTTTATCGATATCCACTCAAGGTCTACCCCAAGCCAATCCTTTTATAGGTTTATTAGCCCATCCGTAGAGACCAGTGCCATAAATTGCGACTCACTATCCTCAATAGGTTATTATGTTGAACATGGATAAACTATCTTTGTAAAAAAATGTAAGCCATTAGTGAGAAGTTATAGCATCTATATTAGTGTGTAATTCTGTAAGAATCTTAGTAACAGCAACCCATTAGTGGAATGCCCCCTTCTTGTAATTTTACATTAAACAAGTATTGGGTTCTCATCCCTATCTATTTACATTTGACTCTAGCGACTGAAATATTATTGAGTGTTTACTCACAAACCTCTCTAACCCTCTAAAGGATAACAAACATAATTGATGAAAATATGTGATAATTGGACAGGAAAAAGGAACAATGAGAAGAAGGCAACAAAATACCAAAAATGTTGATAAATATCTCTGTATTCTCATCCACATGAGAAGAAATAAAAAGGCTGGATTTCAGCAAATTGGAAATTTTCTTGTAGTATAAAAAATGTACCAGAAGTGCTTGTTTCTTCTTGGAGTTAGAGTTTACTATGAGATCTCTAGAGACTGCAAGCATTGACGAATTTAGGTGTCTCTTCCCATTCTACAAACATATGAATAAATGTTATACCAGTACATACCTAGCCGGAAAACTGTTAATAGTGCAGGATAATAAAATGTGAGTAAATAGACTGTTTATTTGTTTGATGAATATAACATGCTAATTAAGACCGACTTACTCTGCAGATGACGTTCGCAATTTTCAAGTCTTTTTCCAACTCCCTGAACAAATGCATCCCCTTCACTGATCAAAAGTAAAAATCGGCATCCCATTTAACTAGCATTCAATTCCAAAATTAAATTTTTCACCATCTAGATAGCTCTTAAGATAAATGAAGCAAACAAGAAAACAGACTTCCAGAATCAAACAGCATTTTGGAAACACCATCACAATAACAAAGGTGAACTACATCAATTGGAGACCATTACTCAAAAAGAAAAATAATTCTGATTCAATTTTGGAAAAGGAAAATGGTCAGTAAAAGCATTAATGAAACCTGAGTTTTCCTTGGGAGCAAGAAGAAAATATGGTGGTAGGACGAATAGATCAACGTTAGAACAACTACACAGACAAGAATTTTCATCTTCAATGACTGCGTTAACTTGAAGAATGTCTAACGAATTTGAAGTCTTATAGGTCTAAATTCCTCTTAACAGGCATTAAGACGGAAGAAAAATCAATTGGAGTGACATTCCCGAATTTTAGGAAAAAAATCTTCCCTTTTTAGGATCAGTAATTTCAATTGAAGCAGGAATGAAATCATGTAAGTTCCCCACTTATAGTATCAAAAGTGCTCATATTCTAATAATGAAGAGGATTATATAACCCATATAACCTTTGGTGAATTCTAGCTTGTTGTGCTTGCTAAAGTCCCATCTTTCAAGCTTCAAACGGAAAGAACCAATATTTAACCATTTATTCGTTGAACTAAAAGATTAGAATCTTGAAGTAGACTTTAGCATTCATGAAAGGATTATATCCTAAAAATGGTTTCAATATGGGTTCCAATGGCCCTTTGGATATTTTTCCAATCATTGTGAGTATTCAAACGAGAAATACCAACAAAGCATTCCAATTACAACAACCATTTTTTCTTCTCTTATCCAGTAAGAGGATATGGAGATGGTGAGCTTTGGACAAAACATATTTGTAGAAATTGAAAAGGCATCTAATGGAGCAGAAGGCTGGATGAAAGATTTTACAATTTCCAAATAGGATTTAAGACGGCACTTGAAAGGTTGAGTCTTACACTAATCTTTCAAGTCAAGCTTCTCAAATTTCATGATTAAATCTCTCTAACATATTCCAAAAAGTGGGTCAGCCACACTTCAAAAACTCACAAGGGATGCTAATCATCTTCCTAACATCAGAAATTGGAGCACAATACAATGAATAACTGTTTATGAAGAAAACCAACGTTTCTAAATTCTGGTAGTTCCAAACTCATCTCTATCTTGCTTGGAAAATATCTGACAAGTGGGCAAAGCTTCATTTTAACCAATAATTCCTCAAACCATCAAAGATGAGAAAATGAAGAGAGATAACAGTCTTAAAATCCTTATCTTCCACAAAAGAAATATATATATATATATATATATATATATATATGTGTGTGTGTGTGTGTGTATATATGTTTTCGAACCAAATGCAATAACTCTTGTAGATCTCCTTAATGGTGTGTGTTAGGCAAAAGAGAGTTAAAACATATTTTTCCTTTCTTGACTTCTTTGTGGAGCAAAAAATTCAATGTTTTCAAAGATCGGGTGAGGAGTTTTGGATGGTGGTAAGTTTAACGCTTCTTTACGGGCGTCACCAAGCCTTTGTAATTATGAGTTCGGCCTTCTTTTGGCTTGGAGTTATTGTAGAAGTTAGGGACAGACACCTTTTTCTTTTTATGTCCACAGATCACTTCATCAGGCCTTTTATCAGTTTATATACTCGCCATTTAGAAGAAAGGATTTGATTCTGTAGTGCAATCCACCCAAGCTCGTTGGTAGGTGAGGCTTTAGCAAAATCAGAAGGAAAAAAAAAGGCACGAAGGGACCAAGGGAGAAAATCCGGAATAGTATTTTGCTTCTCTAGATTATTAGTTAAGTCTTCGTCTAACTATTCATTATAAGTCAAAATCTTTTTTTTCTTCTGCAGTAGGTTTTGTTTGTCACCTTTCCATGGGAAAAAAGAAACAAGATGAGATTATATTATAATAGAGGATTTACATAATTTGAAAATGAGGCCTTATTATATAAAAGAAAAAAACAGAAGAAAATATGAAGAGAAAAGAATTCTACAATGTAGAATAAAAGGCATCAACAAAATCCTGAACACATTATACAAAAGAAAAATACTGAAATGTTATCCCAAATCATGACCACGGGCACGAACCTTCAATGTAGAAAGAAGGTAATAGCTAGTTCCCTAGAATTAAGCCTCACAAACATGCAAGAACAAAATTAACAAATAAAAGAAAACACAGAACAGAAGGGGGGGAAAAATAATAATAATAAATAAATAATTTTTTGGCTTTTTTTTCTTTTTTTCTTTTTAGGATAAACAAGCATAATTTTTCCGTTGATAGGATGAAAAATTACAACAAAAGTTGCAACAACTAACATTTGAAGACTATATCTTAAACAATACAGATACACCCAAATCCAATAAAAAAAGAATTCAAACAACACATATAACCCCAACGATTAGAATAAAAACCACCCAAAAAACCGAAGAGTACAACCTCAAGGAACTTGGGAAATAAAAAGCAGGCTGAACTACCAAATGAATATACTTAAACAATAAATTTTTCAGTAAAAATAGTACTCGACTTCATACAGAGAAGACTAAATTAAAGAATGATGTGAGAGCAGCTACTTCAATATTACCAAAGACAAACATCAACCCTCCAACCAAGCCAAATACAAGAACAAGACTAAAACTATGCCCCTTGGAGAAGGGGTGTAGGGAGCAAAAGGAAAAAGAAAGCCGTACCCATCACTTCATGATGCTCCATCAAATGGCGAGACAAACGTTCAGCCACTTTATCAAGTTGAGCCAATCTCTTGGTAGCCTTTCAAGAAATTTTGTCAAGAATTATTCAGTGAGAAGACATGAAAGTCGTGTTGGATTATGAAGTTGGATAATAGGACCATTACTATGATCAGACTAATCGGATATGTATAAATTACTAAGATAGTTAAAGAAGAATTAAATCAATAGATGACTGCAATTATATTGGGAATTAATTAAGATAGAAATTAGGAATTAGTTTAGATACCCAGTCTGCAATATATTGGGAATTAGTTTAGATGGTAATTAGGAAGGAACGAAAAAAGAAAAAAACTCAAAACCACAAGGTGTAAACAAGAGGATGCAGAAGAACATTAATGATGTGAGATACCAAAAATTCCTAATAAATACAATAGAATAGTCGAGGATACATGTTTCCAATGGGAACAAAAATATACAATACAATCAGAAAGAAGCATGAAAAATGTAAGAGAATAAAACAATGAATAACAACTAACGAAGAAATAAAAACTACAGCCAATGACTGTTATAAAGAGATCCCATTCCAGCTAAAACATCAGACGTCTTATGGAGAGAAGTATAAGGAAGACAAGAGCTTGAACCTCAGATTTGCAGCTTTTCCCCATAATAATAAAGCCAAGAATAGATCTTTCTGATGATACACATCTTGCATTTGATTGAGGTAGTTCCAAATAATCAAAATCTTTAAAAGGATTATTACTCTATTGTATGCCCTTCAATACCTTTCAACTGGAGACCTCATAAGAATCCATCGAGTGAATATAAAATTTCCATCAATACACCCTAGTTCATCTTAAGAAGAAAACCGAGATCACAATTCTTTCCAAAGATGTTTCCGTTTTCTACCATATTCATTTGTTGTCCAACAAAATTTCTTAAACTGAAAAAGAATTTGAGAGTGAGTCCCCCCCCCCCCCCC